CTGAGCCTGGCCTGAGCTTCAGGACTGGCCAGATGCCCATTCAACCCAGCCTCCCATCCCTGGGGCCTTGCCTCTCTCTTCTATCCTCTTAGGTCAGGAAGGAGCAAGAACTGCCCTCCTTGATTGGAGCTCTGAGATAGTAAGGTCTTCTTCTGTTAGGTGATGGAAGTAGGCTGCTTTGCTTAGACCTTGTCCTCAGCGCCCTGGTCCTCACAGCCCAGATCCCCACAGCCCTGGTTTCCATCGTCCTGCTTGCACAGCCCTGGGCTGTGACGCCATAGCCCTTGCTTGCTGTAAGCCATCTGTGTTGAATCTCCACCCACTTCCAACCCTTTTCTCATTCTTCTGAGCACACTCTGCTGGAGCTCGGCTCCATGGCCTTGCTGAGAGGAAGCCTGCCTGTTTTCTCAGGGATGGTGATTGCTGCTGTTGTCACCTCCAGTGTGGTTTTCTGAGATTGGGTGGCAGGATTTTCTCTCTGGTTCTTGGTTTAGCCTCTCATCCTGTCACTGTGACACAGCAGGTCCCCAGGTCCTCTAGCTGGCAGGTGTGTTGGGTGCAGCACCCATTTAGGACCTGACTGTTGCAGAGTTAGAGAAGCAGCTTTTCGGTTGCAGAGGCCCCGTGTTGACCGTTGGTTGCTCTTGTTTCTGTTCCTTTTTTATCCTCCTAACCGATGAGATGATCAGAATCTTTCCCTTTAATCAAAGCTCATTCCAGCCAGGCCCAGCAAAGCAGGTGCTGTTCCGCCAGCCCGCAGCGCAGCACAGGGAGAGAGATTTCTTTGTCGGATATCTAAATGTGGGCCATTGTGTCTGCTCTGCGCAAATAAATCTTTGTTGCCTGGTCCAGTGTCAATACTGCTAACCTGTAGCGGGAGCTCCAGGGTGCTGTGTGTTTGCATAATTTACTGCACTTGCAGTCCAGAAGACTAGATGCTTTCTACAGGATTTCAGCTCGTGGGCCCACCATTGAAAGCACAGAGGACAGCACTCTGCAGGCTGTGGTTGCTGTCCTGTCTGATGACTTTACAGCAGTGCACGGTGCCCTGCCACACAGGACATTTCGGCTTGAAAGATGATAGTAATTATGTCTGCCCACTCATTCATTATGCTTGAACCCTGATTGCCAGTGAAATGGAAATTCCGGTTTTGGAATTACTGCTGACCAGATTCTTTTATCAGTGAGAGCGCATGAGCTCACGGTCACTTATAAAACAGGAGAAAGGAGTCATTTTAGCACACACATTCGCAGTTCTGATGTATACAAACTGGAAGTCATGCCTAGATTTTAGCACTCTGTCTTACACTATGTTCAAAATAGGAGGCCCCCTGCCAGAGACTCATTGTGCACATTAGAAGCTGGCTGGGAGCTGGTGGCTGGTCCACTTTCACATTCATTACCTGTTTCCCAAGTAGTATGCAGTCAGTGAAAAATGGCCACTTCCCTATGATCAAGGATACTGTCCAGGTAGCTACAGGCTAGGCATTCCTTCTGCCAGAGTCAATGGTTTCACCTGGCAGTGCTTAGCCCACACAGTAGAACACTGGCCACAAATACTCACAGGGTCCTCACGATCTCATGTGTGGTCTCAGCACCTAACATCTGTGGCCTTTGCCCTTTAGCAAACTCCTACGAGTTCAGGGTCCCATGTTGAGCAGATGAGAAGACCGAGTGCTCAGAAGCTTGGTGACAGAGAGCGGGGATAGACTTGTCCTGCTTGGCTCTTAGAGGAGAGGAACATAGCCCTGGTGTAGAGGGCTCCTTGTGTATCCTCTCTGGGAATGATGCCCTGCAAACCTTCCCCTGCAAGAGTTGACCTGTGCCCTTATGAGGGCACATAAGCAATAACATAAGCTGTCAGTGTTGTGTTGTGGTCATTCTGCAGGGTGACCACCTGGACCTATCATAAGCCTCTGGTAGAACCTGCCCTCACCAAGTCAGCCATACCTGGGGGCTGCAGCTGGCTAGTCCCCGTGCCTGATTTTTATAGGGCAGAAAGGATTGGTTTTCCCTCTTCTGCTAGGTTACTCCAATGATGAATAGTCCAGAAATGTGTTTAATTTTTCAGAGTAGTTTCTTGCCACTTTGTCTTAGAAAGGTGCTACCTGCCTGTAGGGTGCATGTTAGGACTGTTTGTTTTCCAGGTCCTAAGATTCCTACCTTCCCCGTGGTGGGTGGGCTGCTGGTACTACATGTAGAATGTGGCCAGTAGGAGGCTATGGCTCCTGGGTGTCAGTCCCTGTGGTGGCTCATTTTCTCCTCTTTACCTTCTCTGAATCTTCGGTGGAGATCTCCAGCATCAGCTGTTCTTTGACACAGAGTCTCCAAGGAGACCATCTCTATGTCTCCAAGGAAACTATTACCTTGGAGAAGTTGAGTCTAACCATGATGACCTGGCAGTCACTTTGTATGTCCATCTGAGGAGGGGATGATGGATTGTCTGATGACCCCTATACTGATGTCCTCAGGACAGCTGAAGGTGGAAGTGAGACTGGCTGTAGCCTGATAGTAGTGGATCACTGGCTGGGAGTGACCAGTGGGACCAGGACACCTGCCTGGGACACCTGCTCTAGTATCAGCCACACTGCCCTGCAGGCTGCCCTCATTGCCTGCCATTTCCAGATGCCAGGGTTTCCTCCCCAGTGCTGCCACCACCCTTGGGCTGTGGGTTCCCAAACAGCCACCTGCCTATTCATGAAAGCTCATCCCTCAAGCTCCTGTGTAGAAAGAACCTTGTTCAGTAAATTCAGTCATTTTCTAAACTGCTGGTTTGCAAGGGTTCATCAGATTTGAATTTCACATCAACTGCAGCGCCCTGCTTCAGTGCGCTGGGCCACAGCCGAGGCTGCTGCTGTCCCAGCAGGATGCGCCCTTGGGAGCTGCAGAGGTTGCTGGGATGAAGAGCCACTTGAGCCCTTGGGTCTTCTGTCAGTTGAGTTGTGTAACTGCAGCTAATTTCAAGCTGGAAAGAATTTCTGTCTTCTTAAAAAAAAATTACCTTTATAAAATTAGGAAGTTGATTAATCCTGTTTGCACAGGTCTGTACCAGACTTCTTGAATAAACAGAATCCGGCATCTGCAGTGAGTGGAATCAGCTGGAAGAGTAGCATGTGGGCAGCCCCATTGCCCAGCAGCATGATAGGGTTAGGCCTCTTTCTGCTGGGCCGGAACCCTAGTTCTTAAGTCTTTTCCTGCAGAAGCAGCATATGGCAAATACAGAGACCTCTGTGTCCTTCTGCCTCTTGGATCAGAAGCACTTTCCTGGAGGGGGAGGTCTCAGGGCCATCACCTTCTTCCTGGAACCCTTCCCTCAAACTCTCAGGGCCCTTTACTCTATTAGTACGCTGCCCCAGCCTCTGTAAAGCCTGGAGGGAGCATGGCTGCTCTCACCAGCTCTATCCTGTAGCTACGCACTGTCTTGTTGTAACTGATCTTGAATTGCTTTCTATTTCCCATCATTAATAAGGGCCTGATCGCTGAGTTTTCTCTCTACACCCAGCCTGTTTGCTAATACTGTGATGAAATACCTGAAACTGCTTACTTAGAAGGAAAAGAGGCTAGCTCTCAGTTCCAGAAATTCACGCATAGGACACTAGCGACAGTTCATCTCTGATGAGGACACGTGTCATCACAGTGGTGGTAAAGTTGTGAGAGGGACAGCTCATGCTGCAGAACAGGAGCCAAGAGGAGGTCAGAAAGCGGCCAGGCTTTTCTTCTGTGACAGCCCTCTTGTTGAGAACCAACCACGACTCTGTGAGAGCTGCGTTCTAGTCTCCCGAGGGCAAGTCTTCCTAACGTAAGGACCTCCTCCAAAACCTTTTTCTTAAAGGTCTCACCGCCTCTTCCATTGCATACCAAGGACCCAGCCTCCAACACATGGACTCTAAGGGGACAAAGCTCCGCCAAACTGTGGCTTAGTCCCATGAGCGTCCTGCCCCAGCTGTTCTGGTCAGCTGAGGACAGCAGAGGGCTGAGAGTGCAGGAACTGCCTGCCTGCTGAGGCCTGCTTTTCTAGGACCAGCCCATCATTACCTCCTGTGGGCCTGGCTGCCTCTCAGCCACAGCAGCCCAGTTAAGTATGCACATTCTTACACAGAAGTGGCTCATCTGTAAGATTCAGAACAGGCATAGGACAGGCTTTCTCCCTTCAGTGGTTGGGAAAGCCTTATTTTTGAGACATAGCCAGTAGTTAGCTGGTAGGGGTCTGTGGTGACTAATTTAATATCAACTTAATACAAGCTAAAATTATCTGAAAAGGAGGGAACCTCAATTGAGAAAAACATCTCCATAAGATCTGAATGTAGGTCATTTTCTAAATTAGTGATTGATGGGGGAGGGCCTAGCCCATTGTGGGTGGTGCCGTTCCTGGGCTGGTGGTCCTAGGTTCTTTAAGAAAGCATACGTCATAGTGAACGAGCCAGCAAACAGCACTCCTCCATGATCTCTGCATCAGCTCCTGCTTCTAGGCTCCTGCCCTGCTCAAGGTCCTGCTCTCACTGCCTTTGTTAATGAACTGTTATATGAAGCTGTGAATGAATTAAACTTTTCCCTCCCCTGGTTGCTTTTGATGATGGTGTTTCATCACAGTAATAGTAACCCTAAATAAGTCAGGGTCCATCCTTTGGGGACAATGTTTGGAAGAGCCTGGTTCTCTGTGACACCCAGTTGTTTTTAGTACTTAGTCCTGCATCTAGAGGCTGCCTGGTCTGGGCAGGAACAGGTCTGCTGGGTCTGTGTACAGGAGGGATGGTGCCTGGGTTAGGATGAGATCTCTAGAAGTGTGATGCTCGAGTTACAAATGGTTGTCAACTGCCATCTGGGTGCTGGACATTGAGCCCAGGTCCTCTGCAAGAGCAATAAGTGCTTCTAACCACTGAGCCATCTCTCCAGCCCCTTAATTGTTCTCCTCCTGAAGCATGGACTGTGGAGTTCTTCCTTAATGGAGTTAGTCCTTTGCCCCCAAGGTTCCCCTGACAGCCTGTGTTTGTGTTGTGCAGAGCGGGTCCACCGGCATCTGGACGGGCATGAGGTGCGGTACCTGCAGTTTGCCTTCCGCTGGATGAACAACCTGCTGATGAGGGAGTTGCCCCTGCGCTGCACCATCCGTCTGTGGGACACCTACCAGGTGAGCACCCGGCCCATGGCCCCAGCCCACCCTGTCTGCCCCTACACTGGATCCCTGCAGAATATCCTCTCCATTGCATCAAAGTCTTTTTAAAAAAAATCTAACTCAGGTGTTCCTGTCATCTGGCTATATGTAGAGCAAGGAAAAGGACTTCCTAAGATTCTCCTTGTCACCTGATGGCACTCCAGCTGGTTGGTGACAGTCCCCTCCCATTCTCACTGGCAATTTACATTTTAAGCAGAGTTAAACTGTAAGTATGGCCGAGTAATCATGTACCTTTGCTGTACATCCGAGCAGCTCTAGTAGAAACTTCACACTCGGGACTCACGTGTTGTCTATGTTTTGAGTTACTTAAAATAAAGATTTAAAGAAATCCTCAGACAGATGCAGCACAATATGAAATTTTCCACTCTTCACCAGTTTTGATGAAATTCATGTCTTGAGGAGATTGAGTTTTCCGGAAGCATCCACCTTGGCTCCCCTGAGTGTCCGTTGCTTATTCTAGTCTCTTTTCATTTTGTGTGTGAGGTCTGCTGAAGCTTCCCTATGTGTGCATAGGGTGTGGGCATTGGCTTATAGAAGCAGGCACTGCAGCCTAGGGAGAGGCATCAGACCGCCACAGAAAGCTAGGAAGGAAGTACCAAGTGAGTGTCTTTTTTATAGTAAAAGATCAAGTTCTCCCTGCTATGAGAGCCCTGGATGGGCTCTGTGCCAGGGCTTAGCAAAGTGGGCACTGCATTGGTGCTGGGCCAGGTTTAGACGATAGCGCTCTGGATGGCATGTGTCCAGGCTTTGCGTGGTACTCAGTGTTAGAACCTTGCATGTGGGCATACAGAGGTTGGGGCAGGCAGGACCCTTGTACAACAAGACTAAACCTTTGTGGGGGGGGTCTTTGGTTTAGAAAGTGCAGGACTTGGTTCTGGGTGCTGCATCTTTCCCACAGGCTAGGGTGCTGTTGGGCCCTTGTGTCTATCATCTCTGAGTTTGGAACTCTCTTGAATGGTAGCATCACCCTTCTTTCTAAGTGCTGGTGGTGCATTTGTGTGCCCACACAGGAAATGTCAGTTTTGTGGATATAGCCTCTGGGCCTACCTGAGAGAGAGAGAGAGAGAGAGAGAGAGAGAGAGAGAGAGAGAGAGAGAGAGAGAATTTATGATTAGGCTATCAAGTCTAGGGCTTATGTAGGTTAGGTTGAGGTGGGAAGACTCCTCCCAACTGACAGACTGAATGAAAAGGAGAAGGGGATCTGAACCACAGCATCCATTGCTCGCTGCTTCCTGACTACAGATGCCATATGACTAGTTGCCTCATGTCCTGAGACTTTCTCAACATGATGGCCTGCACCCTTGATCTGTGAGCCAAGCAAACCCATCCTCCCTCAAGCTGCTTTGCTGGGTATTTTGTTGAAGCAGTGGGACAACTAGCTCATACACCCGCTACATCACAACTGCCTTCTGTCTGCTCTGCTTCCTGTGCTCTCTGGTGCCATCATAGAGGTCTATGTGGTAGTGTTCTGTGAGCTGTGTGGTTGGGTGTGTTTTCATGGCAGAGCAAGCTCCTGATTTGTCGGGTTTTCATCTCGGACTTGGCATTCAGTAATACTAGCTGGGAAGGAATTAAAGCCTTACCTGGAGCTGTTTGGCCGAAGTAGCTGTCAGTCGAGTGCATCGATTAGCTTTCTGTTGGATGACAGGAAACAAAACCTAATATCCTATAAATTGCAAATGCTCTCATTCCTGTGATTGCTTAGGCTGTTCATGACCCGGGCCTGCTCATTAAGCTCAGACTTCCTTGCAGTTCTGTCCCATTATGAATAAAGCAGGTATCAAGTCAATCACACTTTGAGCAGACAGAAGTCAGCTCAGCTCAGCCATGTTCTGCACTGTTTCCCTGAAGTACTCAGTTGGCATTCAGACTTTGAGACTACTCATGACCTCTTCGTTGAGTTAATTTTCCTGAAATTTAATTTTGCCATGAATCAACTCCTTTGTATCAGAGCTCTTTTTTGAATGGATAGGCCCCTGGTCATATGCTTTTAAATCAGCGTGTTTCCATTTTCCAGAGCTGAGCTGCCTTTTCTGGCACTGGAAGCCCAGAGCTATCCTCAGACAACAGTTGAGCAGTCACTCTGTATAGCTGGGTGTTTATTGGCTGGGCTATCCCTACAGTGTGGCTTAAGATCCTCTTGGGACGGACACATGCCAAGGGAAGGTTGTTGATAAGCACCTTGTCCCAGGCCCCTGGATGAGAGAGACTGTGGCCAGGAAATGGATGAAATGAGTTGTCTTTGAATGGAACAAGCATGGGTCATGCAGATATGTGTCCCTCAGGGTTTTCTGCTGTCTTAACGCAAAGGCTGGCACCAGGTGGGACAGTCATGGATTGGCTGGTGCTCCTCATGGCTAAAAGATTTTCATCCTGTGAGAGCTGCTTTTGAGGTGCTCTATAGGTTAAGGATCTAGCAATACCAGAAGCACCCTCCCCCCAGACTAAGCCCTGGGCATGACAGCAACCCTGGAATTTGTCCTTTGGGTGCTGGGCTGCAGGTGAGGAGGTCAGTTAATCCAATCCCAGGCCACTGTCCTCACTGGCCCAGCCAGCCATCTTGTTTTACTCTAACCACGTGGCAGGGGACACTTAGCTTTCTGCCCACACAAAGGTGGTGTGCTTGGATGGTCATTTGATGATGAATGGCCTGTTGTGCTACTCCAGCCCTCTCATCTGACCCGTTCACATCTTAGATGAAACACCTCATTTTATTTGCTGTCCTCACAGCCATTTTCACTGTGCCGGAGAGAGGTGGGTTGGAAGGGAGCTGCAGTCAGGGCCTCCGTGCATTTAGCATATGCCCTGGTACTACTCAGGAAAGAGTCGTGGGGATACCCAAGCCACTCAGTTCACACATTATTGAAGACTTTCCTGAGCTCCTGGGCCTTGCGAGTATTGCAGAGAGGACTGTGATCTCAAAGGACCATGTACCAGTGAGTGAGCCAGGCCACAGACCAGATGCTGTTGTCAGTTCCTTTGTCTCAGGTATTAGGGGCAGTGCTGTGGAAGACATCTAGAGCTGGGCAGTTCCATGGGGACGGGTGGCAAGTGACAAGTGGATTTGAGTTGTGGCCAGTGTGCTTAGGTCTCTACAGGATATCTGTGAAGAAGAACATTTTATGTCAGAGGAGCCTACTGAGGATGGAGCAGATGAAGTGTTCTAGGGCGGGACTAAGATCAGTACCTACACAGAAGTGCTAGAAAGGCTTTAGGGATGGGTCACTCACATTTGGACATGAGTTGTGTGGCTGTAGTAAGAAACAGTAGGCTATGCAGAGTGGATGCTGCCAGGGCCTGAACCTTGTCCATTCAAACATGCAAAGGCCATGCTCAGGGGTTGGAGATGAGTCTAGGTGTTCAGGAAGCTTCTGGAATGGTCCCTCCTTTGGTGTGGACTAGGGTTAGGCTTGAAGATTTTTCCAGCAGATAGAGAACACATGTCTCAGTTAAGACTTCCTGTTTGCACTCATACTGGCTTATGATAAGCTACTCCTTAGAGCCTCCCACAGGGTGAAGAATTGTGTTCCCAGCCACCAGGAACTTAGGCCACCTTCAGCCATGTGGGTGGGCTAGAAGACAGCAGCCTGTTAGCCTTCCCCAGTCTATCCTTGAGAGACCCCAGCCCTTGAGGATACTTCTATTATAGCTATGGAAAGCCCCAGAAGCTGCATGGCAGATTTCTGTCCCTGGGAACTGTGGCATCGCTGTTGTGTATACTACAGAGCTTGTGCGGTTCCCAGAGCAGTGAGTAGTTAGTTACCTGCTAGGATTTTGTTGTTGCAGGTATTTCAGGTAGTATTTGGCATTGAGACTAGACAGCGTAGACTGGAGCGCGGGATGAAGAATTATCTGCTCTTATGCATGTGAGCAGCCTGTTAGCTTTTAGTGGTGTGCCCCAGGACTCCCGGATCAAGCTGGAGCCATTCTCGGCCACATTCAAGAGATGCAAGGAGGGTCAGGCTGTAAAGGCATGGGAGGATGAAGGTTCTGCCCCAGACACCAGTGTGCAGTAAGCATGGTGTAGGCTTCTCTAATGCTTTTAAAGGAAAGTGATTTTGGCAGAGGTTGGAGTGGTGTATGGGAGGTGGAAGATGCCCAGAAGTCACTGTATAGTATGTCTATTCTCTCAGCATTAGACCATGAAGTTGGATTAAGTTGTGGTTTCTAAGGTTTTTCTGAGCTCCCAGGAGGTGTGTCTGCTATCGACATTCATCCATCTTCCAGTCTTTCCACTGTCATCTATCACATGACACCTGTTCCGTGGAGAGCCTGTATAAGAACATGGGACAACATCTTAGTATCTGAGGAAGCACCCCAGGAGCTCACAGCTGGCCTGGGAAGGGTACTTATGACAGAATCATAGCCTTGCTTATGTTGACAAAGAGTCAGGCACTGGCAGCTTGGGCAGGAACCTTCCTGTCTAGGGAGTTAAGGAGGACAGAGTGGGATTCTAAAGGCAGGGACCTCATGCTCAATCTGCCACAAAGAATAGGTGCAGTGAGGTGACTGTGGTAGGCTGTAGTGAGCCAGTTGTGCATTGCATAGAGTCCAGAGGCAAGTAGTCACAGCTAGCTTGGCCTGAGGCAAGACCAGCTATGGCTGTGTCAGGGCACCTGGAATCCAGGGTTGAGGACAGGCTCCTAGCACCTGCTACATCCTTTGTTATACCCAGCTGACAGCAATCATGGCTTGTGGACCTCCTAGGTGTCACAGCATGGATTCTGTGGCTAAGGTGGCATTGGAACTGATGGATTGGGTTAATCTAATAAGCCCGAGGAAGCAGGTCTCTGTACAACACACTTTTTCATAAGCCCATTAAGATTTGAGAGTGTAAGCTCTTCATGCCTACCCGCCCACAGGAAGCAAGCATACATCACTGTCAGTCTGATAAGGATATAGAAACACAACACTCAGCAAGACTTGGCCCACTGCAGTTACATTTGCAGGGAGGA